GGTTCTAGTCCTGGGTCTTAAACTTAGGACCTGGGCACCATCCCGGAGCATTTTTACTCAAAGCTAGTGCTCTGCTGCTTGAGCCATAGCTCTACTTCTGGCCTTTTGGTGGTTAATTGGAGATAGGAGTCTCATGGACTTTCCTGCCTGGGCTGGCTTTGTACCATGATTCTCAGATCTCAGCTTCCTGAGTAGGTAGAATTACAGATGTGAACCACTAGCACCTGACCCTTTTCTACAACTGTTTTTATAGATAATAAGGAAGATGATAAAAATGCTAAAAACAAAGCCTATTACATAACATGTACAAAGCAACATGTATCTGGCAATTTTAATGTATCACTTAATGTTTCAGTAACTTTATAGCTAAGTATACAGTTGGAAATTGCTATGAAGTCGTACAGGTAAAACTGTGTCTTAAATGCTATGCAAGAGGAAAACCAACTACATTTGAAGGTTAATAAAAATTGAGCTTTTAGTTGGTCTCTAGTGACTCATCCCTGTAATCCTAGCTACTCAGGAGGCTTAAATGTGAGGATCTTGGTTCGAAGCCAGCCCAGGCAGGAAAGTCCATGAGACTATTATCTCCAATTAAGCACCAGAAAACTGAAAGTGGCATTGTGGCTTGAAGTGGTAGAGCACCAGCCTTGAGCAAACGAGCTTAGGGTCAGTACCTAGGCTCTGAGTTAAAGCCCCTTGACAGATAAAAAGGAAAAAAAAAAGAACTTTATCATGACAAATTCAGTCATCAGTTTATGATGGTTTTATATTTATCTGTCTATCTATAGTCATATAGATAGTTCATATACACGATAACACACACATATGATCTTTCCATGTAGCATATGCTGGTGTGATCTTCCCAAGTACTAGGATAACAGGCCTACCTTCCAGCTCTAGGCTTACAACAATCTTTTTTTTTTTTGCGAGTCCTGGGGCTTGAACTCAAGGCCTGGGCACTGTCCCTGAGCTTCTTTTGCTCAAGGCTCTACCACTTGAGCCACAGAGTCACTTCTGGCTTTTTCTGTTTATGTGGCACTGAGGAATCAAACCCAGGTCTTCATGTATGCTAAGCAAGTACTCTACCACTAAGCCATATTCCCAGCTCCATAATAACAATTTAAAATGCTCTTTTTGGGGAAAGTTTTAGGAAAGATTTATTTTAGTATATAATAGTTAAAGTAGGGAGAGAGAGAGGAGAGAAATAGTTCCTGCTCCCTTCCCTGTACATGACGTGTGAATTAAAGACTCAAAATAATTTATTGACTATTTTACATGTGTTGTCTCGGCAGGCCCTTGCTTGCATACTTGCTAGGCAAGCACACTATCAAATGACCCCTACTCTCCCTTTTTAGCCTTGTGAATCGTAAGCAGATATCATACCACTGATCTAGACTTTCAGTTTACATTAGTTATTTTTTATTAGGATATATTATTTGTATAATGAGCTTTTCATTGTGTATTTCCATACATGCATCCAATGAATCCTGGTCAAACTTACCCCTTAATCACTTTTCCTTGACCTGTGTTTCCTCACTCCATGGTGTGGGCCTTGAACTTGAACCTCATGTTCTCACTCTGATTTTTTTTTTTTTGTTGTTGTTCATTGATGGCTTTCCTTCACTTGAGCCATACCTCCAGTCCAGCATTTTTGCTGGTTAATTGGAGATATAATGTCTTGGACATTAATGCCTGCTGGTGAACTTTTGATCTCTTGTCTGAACCGTTTGAGTAGAGTAACTAGAATTTCAAGCATGAAGTGTACCTTACACAGCTTAATACTATAAGTAAAATTTTATTTATTTTCTGTTGGCCATGGGGCTTGAACTCAGTGCCTGGCTGCTGGTCCTGAGCTCCTTTTCTGGTGTTCTACCACTTGGAGCCACTGCTGGTTCCAGTTTTCTGGTGGTTAATTGGAAAGAAGCGTCTCATGGACTTTAATGCCTGGGCTGAGTTTGAATTGTGATTCTCAGATCTTAGCCTCCTAAATAGATACATACAAACATGAGCCACCACTGCCTGACTTGTGAGCTTTTATTGATAATTCTAGATTCATGTGCATTTGTGAAAAATGATACAGAAATTCTGAATATCCAGTTTCTCCCAATGGTAACACACTTGCAAGACTGTTACAGCTTAGGGCTAGGGATATAGGTCAGTGGTTGAGGGCTGGCCTGAATATCAGGAAACAAACATAAAATTACAAGAAAAGTGTTGAGAGTATAATGATCAAAAGATGAGATTTGCTTTCATTTTACTTGTATTCATTTTGTGTGTGTATATATATGTGTGTGTATAGTGTGCTACAGTTTTATTATATGTATTACATATTATGATATTATTGTTATATGCTTTTTTATCTACTACCACAGTCAGGCAGCAGTTCATTTCTGTAAGAGATCCCCATTTTATAACTACATATACCTACAACCGCCTCTCCCACCACTAGTCTTTTCCGTGCCTATCGTTTTTTTTTTTTTTTTTTGGTCATGGGGCTTGAACTCTGGGCCTGGGCACGGTCCCTCAGCTCTTCAGCTCAAGGCTAGCACTCTACCACTTGAGTCACAGTGCCACTTCCGGCTTTTTTCTTTTTGCTTATATGGTGCTGAGGAATCTAACCCAGGGCCTCATGCTCGCAAGGCAAGCGCTCTACCACTGAGCCACCTTCCCAGCCCCTCTGAGGGAAAATTCTTTAAAACATTTTTTTATTTTTTGATCCAAGACTGAGGCTCAGAGGCTGGGAAGGCGGCGCAGTGGTATAGTGCTTGCCTTGCATGCATGAGGCCCTGGGTTCGATTCCTCAGCACCTCATAAGCAGAAAAAACTGGAAGTGGTGCTGTGGCTCAAGTGGTAGAGCTCTAGTCTTGAGCTGAAGAGCTGAAGGACAGAGCCTAGGCCCAGAGTTCAGGCCCCACAACCGACAAAAAAAAATTAATAAGCTGGAGCTTCGTGCTGGTGGCTCATACCTGAAATCCTCCTAGCTATTCAGGAGTCTGAGATCTGAGGATTATGGTATAAAGCCAGCCCAGGCAAGAAAGTCCATGAGACTCTAATCTCCAGTAAACCATCAGAAAACTGGAAGTGGTGCTGTGGCTCAAGCTGTAGAGTGCTTGCCTTGAGCTGAAGAGCTCAGGGGCAGTGCCCTGGCCCAAAGTTCAAGCCCCACAACCAACAAAAAACATACCAAAAAACGAGTAGCTGTATATGGAAAGTATAAATAGGATTGCTGTTTAAGGCCAGCTCGGACTAAAGTGAGACCCTTTGAACAGTAACTAGAGTAGGGGCTTGAGGTGTGGCTCAATCATAGAGTGCCTGCCTAGCATACATGAAGTCCTGAATTTAAACCTAGTACTGTTCCTGCTTCCTGCCAGAAAGAAGTTCTTTCTAATGTATACTTTAGATTTTTTTTTTTTTTTTTTGTCGGTTGTGGGGCCTGAACTCTGGGCTTGGGCACTGTCCCTCAGCTCTTCAGTTCAAGGTTAACGCTCTACCACTTGAGCCACAGTGCCCCAGGGTCTCATGCATGCAAGGCAAGCATTCTACCACTGAGTTACCTTCCCAGCCCTGGGTCTTAACATATTTGGCCCAAGCAGGTCTTACACCATGATCCTTCATGGCCTCTCATATAGCTGGGATCACAGGCACCTACCAATACTGCTTGCTTAGCTTATTTACATGGAGACTAGACAACATTTGTGTTCCAGCTGGCCTCAAACCAAGATTTTTCTGGTGTCTTCTTCCTGTGTTGTTGGTATTACAAGAGTGAACCATCTTGTCTGGTTTGGGTTTTGATGACAGTACCTCAGATCTATAAACTTCTGAATCTTTGTTTGAAGCCATTTCACTTAGTTGTATGAAGAGTTTAGTGAATTGATTTTGGTTTAATTTGTGGAATTAGTTGAGCTTTATGTAGGCCACTTTCTATAAGAAAGACACCCTTGTGTTCTAGTTGGAGATACAGTACGGTAAAATATTTCTGTATTATAATGTGAGATATCTGGTTGAGGAATAGATTATTTTGGATTATTATTATTATTATTTTCGTTATTATTATTTGAACTCAGGGCCTCTCATTTTTTGCATAGCTTTTTGGCCTAAGACTTGTGCTCTACAATTGAGTCACAACTGCACTTCAGGCTTTTTTTTCAATGGAAAATTGGAGATAAGTAAGAGTCAAAAAAGTCAGAAGACTGTTTTGCCTCGGCTGGCTATAAATAGCAGTCCTGAGACTTGAGTCTCACAAGTTGCTAGATTACAGGCATGAGCCACTGGTGGCCAACTTTTGGATTGTGTTGGGTGGGAAAAAGTTATGCTGGCCATTATACTTTCAGTGAATGAGAAAGAGCTGTTCTTCGTTTCCTTCAAATGTTTTTTTGTGCGTGCGTGCGTGTGTGTGTGTGCGTGCATGTGCGTGCGTGTGCGTGTGTGTGCGCGCGTGTGTGCGCGCACTCTTCGGGAGTGTGTGTGTGTGGTGTGTGTAGTGTGTGTAGTGAGGGGTTGTACTTGTCTTTGCTCTCAACCCATTTACTACTGGATTCATACCTGCAGTCTAGCATTTCTGCCCATGCTGGCTTTGAACCTTGACCTCTAATTTTCACCTTCTCAAGTAGCTAGGATTACAAGTGTGAGCTACTAGTCAGCACTCAGATGATTAGTTCTAGACATAAATGCAATTCTCATTCTAGATTCCTTTGTCACAGGGTTTTCAACTATTTGGTAAGTCTTAAGTGTGTGGCTACTAATATCTGCTTAATTATTTTGGTGTTGCTTACTTGTAATACCATTACAAAATCTGTCTGATTTCCAATTTGATTATTTATTGTTGCACTAATTTAAAGATTTTTTTTTTAGTTTTTATATATAATTACTATAGTTGTTGGTATAGTTTTTGTGAATAAGTTACTTTGTAGCACAATTGTAAAATGTGAAATTTGTCGTAACTTTTTTCTTCAAGATAAGCATTTATATTTTTCCCTATCTGCTTTTGTCTTCAACTATAGTTGTGGTTGCATCACATGACTAAGATTATAAATGAAGATACTATGTGAGCAGTTGGGACAAGAAACAGAATTACAGTAAGCTCATCTTACTTGTAGATTTACTACATGCTTTTTCTTTGGTGGGTGTGTGGGTGTATGGGTATGTGCACAAGCACACAGGCACTGGGACTTTTACTTGGCCTGGGTTCGGTCTTTTTTAGCTTTTGCACTCAAGGTTAGTGTTCTACCATTTGAGCCACAGCTCCCCTTCCAGTTTTTGTTGGTTAAGTTATAGATAAGAGACTTCCTTGGACTTCCTGGCTTGGTTTTACTTTGAGCCATGATCTTCGCAGTAGCTGGGATTACAGTCATGGACCACTGATGCTGGGCTACATGCAGTTCTGACCAAGCGCAGTCAAAACAATTTTTAAAAAGCAAGACTTTAAAACAAATAAAAAACTTTTGCACCTGTATTATGCAGTTCTGTTAGTGTGGAGAAGCTCTTAGTCCTGTTACTTTCAGTTGTGTTTAAATAGTTGTATGACTTGGTGAGTTTTTCTCTTCCTTTAATTTCTTGAAACAAAAACACAATAGAAGTAAGTGCATTTAATTCACACGACAAAGTAGATGTAGCAGAGTTGACTGGCTGTCTTACTTTGGTAAATAATTGAAAACTTGAATGTTTAGTATGTACTTACAGAGTATTATGTATTTGGGAGTCTTTCTATTCGCAAAAATGTAGAGATGGGGACCAGACACCGTGGAATCTGAAAACTAAATGCTGTGTCTAATTTTATATTAGAGCAATGTACTATATCTGATGTATATAATAGAAGGTAAGCACTTGATAAAAAATTGTGTTCATGGGTTAGAACATTGAAGATTTGTGTGTACAAAACAGTCAAGATGAATTCATTTGTTTGGATTTATTTGTTTCCTTTTTTTGGGGGGGGGTCCAGTCGTGGGGCCTGAACTCTGGGCCTGGGCACTGTCCCTCAGCTCTTCAACTCAAGGCTAGCACTCTACCACTTGAGCCACAGCGCCACTTCCGGTTTTTTTCTTTTTGCTTATGTGGTGCTGAGGAATCGATGCAAGGCCAAGCGCTCCACCACTGAGCCACCTTCCCAGTCCCTGGATTTAATTGTTTTCTGTTTATTGGTTACATTAGTTCTACAAGGAGGGTTTTATTATGGCATTTCTACATATGTTTACAATGGATTTGGATCCATCCTATCCTCTTTGTCCTTTATCACACTCCCTCCCCTCCTTAAGACAATGTCAGCAGGTTTATTTTTGTTTTTATTTATTGTTTTGTCTTTCTCATCCTGGGGCTTGAACTCAGGGCCTGGGCACTGTCCCTGAGCTTCTTTTGCTCAAGTGGTAGGCTAGCATTCTTACCACTTGAGCCACAGTGCCACTTTGGCTTTTTCTGTTTATGTGGTACTGAGGAATTGAACCCAGGGCTTCTGCATGCCAGGCAACTTATCTACCACTAAGCCACTTTCCTAGCCCCAATTTCAGCAGGTTAAATTGCTTTGTTTTCTTTCCTCCCTTCCCTCCCTTCTTTCCTCCCTCCCTTCTTCCCTCCCTCCCTTCTTCCCTCCCTCCCTCTCTCCCTCCTCTCCTTCTCTCCTTCCCTGTCTCACTCCCTTCTTCCCTCCCTCCCTCCCTCCCCCTCCTCTCCCCTCCCTGCCCCTCTCCTTTCTCCTTGAACTCAGGGCCTGGATCTTGTTCCAGAGCTCTTTTTTTGCTCAGTCATGGGGCTTGAATTCTGAGCCTGGGCACTGTCCCTCAGCTCTTCAGCTCAAGGCTAGCTCTCTACCACTTGAGCCACAGCACGCCACTTCCGGATTTCTAGTGGTTTATTGGAGAAAAGAGTCTCACAGACTTTCCTGTCCCGGCTGGCTTTGAACCATGATCCTCAGATCTCAGCATCCTGAGTAGCTAGGATTACAGGCGTGAGCCACTGGTGCCCGACTAGAGCTTTTTTTTTGCCAATGGCTAGGGCTCTTATCACTTGTGTCATTGAGCCACCTTTTTGGTAGATTGGAGGTAAAAGTCTTCCTAGAGTTTCCTGCCCAGGTTAGTTTTGAACCACAACACTCAGATCTCGGCCTCCTGAGTAGCTAGGATTACAGGCCTCATCAAAAGTCCTTTGGTCATATTTATCCTTATTCACTGTTTTCATTAGCTGGTCCCCACTCCCATCCAAGACTTTTAGTTTCCTGTTACTTATTTTTTTTTAGTATGTAGTAATTGCACCAGTGAAATCAGGGCATGCATATATTATGCATTTTATTATGTTTTATTCAGAGCAACCCTCTGTTTTTTCCCCCATAAACAGTTTTCATTGAACTTCCATATGTCTTTTTTTTTCTTTTTTGTTGGTTGTGGAGGCTGAAATTTGGGCCTAGGTGGTGACCCTCAGTCCTTCAGCTCAAGGCTAGCACCCTACTGCTTGAACCACAGTGCTGTGTCTGGGTTTTTTCTGCTTATGTGGTGCTGAGGAATTGAACCCAGGGCCTCATGCACATGAGGCAAGCACTCTACCACTGAGCCAACTTCCCAGCCCTCTTTATGCCTTTTCAAACACAGTTGCATTATAATTTGAAGTTATTTGTCTGCCATTTTTCTTTTCCCCTCTCCTTCCCATCATCTTCCTACATAGTGCTATAGTTTAGATAATGTTTTTACATATGTATATATGTGTGTTTATATATGTATGTGTTTGTATGTAAGTTTATATACATTTTATACATTAATATGTTTGTCCTTTAGATCTAGTTTCCATATATTAGTAAAAAAATACAAGGTTAAAAATTTTCTTTCAGTACTGGGTTTGAATTTGGGCCTTAACACTTATTAATTAGGAGGACTACACACACTTATCAGACCTTTTGTTGGTTAATTTTGAGATAGGGTCTTGCTTCATGCACAGTCCGCTCTATACCGTGATTTTTCTGTTTGTGCTTTCTACATTGTTGGATGACAGATGTTTGCCACTATATCTAGCCATTGGTCTAGATGTGTCTTATAAACTCACCAGGTACAGGTGGCTCACCTCTGTAATTCTAGCTACTCAGGAGGCCTGAGGTCTGAGGATCACAGTTTAAAGCCAGCCTGGACAGGAAAGTCTGTGAGACTCTTTATCTCTAATTAACCACCAGAAAACTGGAAGTGGCTCTGTGGCTCAAAGTGGTAGAGCACTAGCCTTGAGCAAAAGAGCTCAGGGACAGTGCCCAGACCCTGAGTTCAGGCTCCATGACCAATCCCCTCAAAAGTCCTATGAACTCTTTTTTAAAGTGTGTGCATGTATGCTTGCCCAGGCTGGCATTTATGAACCCTTGATGTCAGCTTCAAAAGAAGATCCTCAGATCTCAACTTCCTGAATAGCTAGGATTATAGATACAATGCTGGTGCCTGGCTTAAAGATGCTTTTTAAGAGTAAGCCGGTGATGGTGCGTATCTGTGATCCTAGCAATCAGGAGGCTAAGGCAAAGGATCAGTATCACAATGCAGCACAGGCTATACAATCCTATGATACATAGTATGAGGCCTGGTAAAAACAATTCCAAAAAAAAAAACACAAAAACATTCTTCAAGAGTGAATCCTTTTGGGAAAACTGACTTAGAAAACTTGGTGTAAATCTGAATTGAAGCTGCGCCCCTCCCTCTTCCCCCCAGTCTTGATGCTTGAACTCTGGGCCTGGGCGCTGTCCCTCAACTCTTCAGCTCTAGGTGAGCACTCCACCACTTGAGCCACAGCATCACTTCCGATTTTCTGGTGGTTAGTTGGAGATAAGAATCTCAGGGACATTCCTGCCTGGCTTGGCTTTGAACCACAATTCTCAGATCCCAACCTCCTGAATAGCTAGGATTACAGGGGCGCCTGGCTGCTTGGTGGTTTTTGTACTACTTAATTCATATATAGCCTTGAGAGGTGCAATGTTTCTTATTTCATTACAAATCAGCAGGCTAGTGATGTAGCTCAGGGATTTCTCCAGTACTGAAAGACATGTTAAGTGCATGTTTTATTACACTGTGCATTTATTTCCCCTTTACTCTGTTTCTTTGTTCTTTTTGTTATTACTATTGTTCCAGGAGGAGCCAGAATCAAAATGAGGCAGGGGTGGGAGGAAATGGGGATGAAAGAGATGGGGGGGGGCAGGAAGAGAATGAACAGATTTCCTGTGTGTGTGCGTGCGTGTGTGTGCGCAAGCACGTGCGCTAGGGATCAAAACCAGAGCTTTGCATGTGGAAGCAAGCACTATCCCACTGAGTTAGAAATCATAACTTTTTTTCATTTAGTTAGTGTTCTTTTATTTAGTGTTCTTTTTGTTGTTGTTGTTGGTTGTGGGGTCTGAACTCTGGGCCTGGGCTCTGTCCCTTAGCTGAAGCACTCTACCACATGAGCCACAGCACCACTTCTGGCTTTTTCTGCTTATGTGGTACTGAGGAATTGAAACAGGGCCTCATGCATGCTAGGCAAGCACTCTACTACTGAGCCACCTTCCCAGCCCTTATTTTAGTGTTTTAAGAGTGAAAGAAAGTAAATATAAGAAGACAGAAAAATACAGGGAACTATAAACTGCTTTTGAAGTAACAATAATTGTCAAAATTTCTTTAATTTCTTGTCTTTCCATGTGCAGTACTAGGAATTGAACTCAGGGCCTGGCCATTGTCCTTTAGATTTTCCTCTTAAGGCTAGTGCTCTACCACTTGAGCCACAGCTCCTCTTTCTATGTTTTTGGCAGTCTAATGGACTTTTTTGCCCCAGCTGGCATTTAGCTTTCAACCTTGATCCTCAGCCTCTTCCTCCTTTTTTGGGGGGGTGGTTGGTTGGTCAAGGGGCTTGAACTCTGGCACTGTCCCTGAGCTCTTCAGCTCAAGGCTAGCATTCTACCACTTGAGTCACAATGCCACTTCGGTTTTCTGGTGGTTAATTGGAGATAAAACTCTCAACGTACTTTCCTGCCTGGGCCGGACTTGAACCTCTGTCCTCAGATCTCAGCTTCCTGAGTAGTTAGGATTATAGGCATGAGCTTGGTGCTTGGCTCAGCCTTCTGAGGATTACAGGTGTGAGCTCCAAGCTCCCTGCACTTCAAATTTCTATCCTGTGCCTTTTTAATGGGCTTAAGAAAAAAAAAAGTACTTGCCTGCTTCTGATGGCTCTCACCTGTAATCCTAGCTACTTAGGAAGCTAATTGTTGGGATCACAGCTCAGGCAGAGCAATGTTTGCAACACCCGCTTCTCAATGAAAAGCTGGACACTGCACACCATGAACATTGTGCAGACTTGTTATCTTAGCCAATTGGAAGGGTAACATAGGTTGATTTCACGCATCAGCTTATCTCAAAAATTGTGGGCAAAATGAGGGCTAGAGGTATGGCAGTAGTCAGAGTGCCTGTTTTGCAAGCTCTATGAACTAAATTCAAGACAGCCCCACTACTGCCAAAGAAATAACTAAAAAATTTTCTCTTACACATTGAATTTTTTTCCTTTTTTAAAAAAAAATTTTCATTGTAAAGATACTATATAGAGGGTTACAGTTATATGAGCAAGGTAATGAGTACACTTCCTATTGAGCATTGTTACCCCCTCCATTGTTTTCCCCCTACCATCCCTTCCCTCCCTACCTTCCCCGACGTTCTTTTTTTTTTTTTAATTGTTACACATTTAATTTAAAAAGGGTTTAACCGCCAGGCGCTGGTGGCTCACGCCTGTAATCCTAGCTACTCAGGAGGCTGAGATCTGAGGATCGCAGTTCAAAGCTAGTCCGGGCAGGAGAGACTGTGAGACTCCTATCTCCAATAAACCACCAGAAAACCGGAAGTGGCGCTGTAGCTCAAGTGGTAGAGCGCTCGCCTTGAGCTGAAGAACTGAGGGACAGTGCCCAGGCCCAGAGTTCAAGCCCCATGACCGACCCAAAAAAAAAGGTTTTTATCCTCTGTAAGATAATAAAAAACATTAAAATTACTTTAAAATCAGGTATATTTGGCCATATGTATAACTACTGGTTGAACTCATATATGAGTCTCTGAGTTCAGTCCCTCTGAAAAAGAAAAAAAAACAAAACTAAACAAAAGCATATTAATAATATTAGCAAATAAATTTAAATGTAGAACACTGAAGATGATAAACTTTAAGATCTTGATGAGTGTGTATGTGCGTGCGCACATGTGTGCCAGTACTAGGGCTTGAACTCAGAGCCTCTCGATCATGCTTGGCTTCTACCACTTTAGCCATACCTCCAGTTTGGCTTGTTTTGGTTAATTGGATATTAAAATCTGTAGGATTTGTTTGTCTGTGCTGGCTTTGAAGCTTGATCCTCAAAATATTAGCCTCCTGGGCTAGGAATGTGGCTTAGTGGTGGAGTGCTTGCCTAGCCTGCCTGAAGCTCTGGGTTTGGAAGATTCCTCAGTACCACATAAACAGAAAAGGCTGGAAGTGGCACTGTGGCCCAAGTGGTAGAGTGCTAGCTTTGAGCACAGAAAGGCTCAAGGACAGTGCCCAGGCCCTGAGTTCAAGCCCCAGGAATGGCAAAAAAAAAAAGAAGCCTCCTGAGTAGCTAAGATTACATGTATAAGTCACTGGCATCCAGCTTCTTTTTTTTTCTGTGCATGTTAGCATAATGTCCCTTTATATGTATAAATACACATAGTGAGAAATTACTCAGTAATTTCATATGCTTTTTTTTTTGGGTCCGGTCATGGGGCCTGAACTCTGGGCTTGAGCGCTGTCCCTAAGCTCTTCAGCTCAAGGCTAGTGCTCTACCACTTGAGCCACAGCGCCACTTCCGGCTTTTTTTCTTTCTGCTTATGTGGTGCTGAGGAATCGAACACAGGGCCTCGAGCATGCAAGGCAAGCGCTCTACCACTGAGCCACCTTCCCAGCCCTTCATATGCTTTTTGAATTCATTATGGAACAAAATATTGTTTATTTCTTTCTATACTACTAGGAAATTTGTTTTGGTACTTAGCTCAGATTGGTCTTGAATTTGTGATCTTCCTTTCTTTACCTCCTAGGTGCTGGAATTAGATGTTTGGTACCATTTCTGGCCTACCAGGAAAATTGAAAGCATAAAATCAGATTTTAAAATTTTGTATAAAGTTCATCAATTTTATATAAAATTCATTCCTTAATTTGATGGCTGAAGGCATGACTCAAATGGTAGAGTGCCTAAAATAGGTGAATTGACAGACAAAAAGCAAAACCTTAACTTAAAAATAACCAGTGGTTAGGTGTTGGTGGCTCATGCCTGAAATCCTAGCTATTCAGGAGGTTGAGATCTTAGGATCGTGGTTCAAAGCCAGACCAGGCAGGAAAGTCCAAGAGACTTCTTACCTAGAATTAACCACCAGAAAACTGGAAGTGGTGATGTGGATCAAGTGGTAGAGTGCTAGCCTTGAGCTGAAGACCTGAGGGACAGCGCCCAGGCCCAGAGTTCAAGACCACGACTGACAAAACAACTACTACAAATAAAACCATCAGTAGGCTCAAGTGGTAGAGCATCTGCTTAGGAAGCATGAGCCCTTGAGTTCACAATCCAATACTGCCAGAAAATAGTTTAAATAGCATGCATTTAAAAGAAAGTTTCATTAAAAATGTTAATAATAGTTTATATTTGCTTATTACACACTCTCTCCATCTCAAACTGTTGTAGAATCATGCTGTTTTATAAGAAATGCCTTCTAATAATACTTAGGCTCTGAATTAGCATTTTTTCAATTTTTTTTTCTTGTTTTGGTGCTGGGGATCGGATCTGGTGCCTCATGTATCCTAGGCAAGCTCTGTAACACTGATTCTACAACCCCAGCCTTTGTAGTTGATTTTGTGTCATGACCGAAAGATATAAACACTGCATATGCATTTAAAAAATCATTGAAAATTTTGTAGTGCTGAGATTTATGATGAAAATACTTTTTTCCTCCCTAGTGCTCTAGAAGGAAGACATCACGATGGCTACAGAAATTGGCTCTCCTCCACGTTTTTTCCATATGCCAAGGTTCCAGCATCAAGCACCTCGACAACTGTTTTATAAGCGACCTGATTTTGCACAGCAGCAAGCAATGCAGCAGCTTACCTTCGATGGGAAACGAATGAGAAAAGCTGTAAACAGAAAAACTATAGACTATAATCCGTCTGTAATTAAGTATCTGGAGGTAAGTTTAATTAACGTATTTCAGATGATCAAAGGTTGTTTTCTTTTTTCTCTTAACTATGCTGGAGAATAACTCAGAACCTTACACATGGTAATAAGAAAGTATTGTACTTGTGCCACTGCTTGAGCTATACCTGCCTCCCCTTGGACCCCTAGTCTTGGGGCTTGAACTATGGATTTTGGCACTGTCCTTGAGCTTCTTTTGCTCAAGATGAACACTCCACTGCTTGAGCCACAGTTCCACTTCTGGCTTTTTTGAGTAGTTTACTGGAGATAAGAGTCTCACCAACTTTCCTGCCTGGGCAGGTTTTGAACTGCTATCCTCAGATCTCAGCCTTCTCAGTAGCTAGGATTACAGGTGTGAGCCCCCTGTACCTGGCTTTGTATTTTGTTTTTGAGGTAGGATCTCACCAACTTTGTCCTGACTGGTCTTGGAATTTGAGGTCTCTTATACTGCCTTCTGAGTATAGGTGTCTGCCTTTATATCAGGTTTGATAGTTTCCTAACTGAAGGGGTATTAAGTATATATGTTGCTTGAATTAGTGGAATTAAGTGAATTTCAGATGAGGCTATTTAAGGAAGTGTACTTTTTATTTTTACTCTGCATATGTAATTTTCTGAAAAATTGGTATTGCAGATAACTCTGTCACTTGAGCTACACCTCCAATCCATTGCTGATTATTTTAAAGATAGAAGTAGCTGAGTGCTGGTGGCTCATGCCTGCAATCCTAGCTACTCAGGAGGCTGAGATCTGAGGATAACAGTTCAAAGCCAGTCCAGGCAGGAAAGTCTGTGAGACTCTTATCTCTAATAAACCACTAGAAAACCCGAAGTCTCACTTTCTCTGGGATGCATGGTTTGCAGCCTCCCAATTTGGTATTATTTTCTAGACAGACGTGCCACAGTCATGTGTCTAGCTTTCCTCCATTGAGATGGAGTCTTACGGACTTTTCTGCTTGGGCTAGAGTAGAGCCATGATCCTCCCAAGATGACATGCATACTGCATCCAGCTATGAATTGAAAAGGGGTTATCATGCACTTTCTATCTGGATTGGCCTTGAGCCATGTTCCTCCCATTCTCAGTCTCATCTAGGAGCCAGTGAGCACAGCTGAGACTTACTGTTTTTGAGATTAAAGTCTTGTTGTGTTGCTCAGTCTGTGCTTAACTCATGAACTTACTTTTACCTCACCTTCCTGAGTAGCTGTTAATGGAGGCAGCTCTTATTTGGCCTGTGTGAAAAACGATGAAAATCAGACTCCAGTTTAGAAAAATTGGTTGTAAAGGTTCACAGTAAATCAGAGAGGGTATTTTAATCCCTAGTCCAAGTGTAAAGGTCTTTTTAAGCTCACAGTGTATAAGAAGTCATAAAAGACTACCAACATAGCAATATTTCTGTGAGATAGTGGTGCTGGGAACATTGATTCTCCCATTTCCAAACTCCTAGTAGTAGGAAAAATTCTGTTTACTTGAGGACTGAACAACTCCTACAGTCCTATAGGATGGAAGCAGCTCAAGATGGTAAGTAATGATAAGGTACAGGGCTCTGCCTCAGATATCCTCAGTGCTGTTTCTCCCCTTGTGAGTGCTTCACTAAGGTTACTGTTAACAACCATTGGATTTGTCTGTTTTTATTACCCTAGATCCACTTTAGTTCAGGACCTATTTGCACATAGGCCTGATTAGAGTCTTGTTACACATGGCAGTCAGAAGTAAGAACAAATGAGACTTTCCTAGAAATTTTAGTTGTAAAACTAGAATAAAAAGCTAGGATATGAGAGGAATCAAGAAAGCCAAACAAGGCTGGGAATATGGCTTAGTGGTAGAGTGTTTGCCTAGCATTCACAAAGCCCTGGGTTTGATTCTTCATTACTACATAAATAGAAAAAGCCAGAAGTGGTGCTGTGGCTCAAGTAGTAGAGTGCTAGCCTTGTGCAAAATAATCTCAGGGACAGTGCCCAGGCCCTGAATTCAAGAAAAAAAAAGCAACCAAATAAGCAGGATACTGATGACTCAGGCCTGTAATCCTAGCTACTCTTGAGGCTGATATCTGAGGATCACGGTTCAAAGCCAGCTTGGGCAGGAAAGTCCCTGAGACCCTTATTCCAATTAACCAGAAAAGCAGAAGTGGCATTGTGGCTCAGAGTGGCAAAAGAGCTCAAAGGCAGCACCCAAGCTCTGAGTTCAAGCCCATGATTGACATTGCCACCCCCAAAGAAGAAATGTTTTGTACAAAAGGTTTTGAAGGAATTCAGGATGCCCGTGTACCCTCTGCCTTGTTATTAAGGTATGGTTGGTGAGTTTTTTGTATGAGTAGAGTAGAGGCTAAAAATGAAGAAGGAAATTGTAAGCAATGTTAGTAAGAAAAATAGAAGTTGTTTTTAAGAACTGGAATTAGTAGTTTTAGAAAACAGGGTTTTGAATTTCATTTTTCTCCTTTGATATACTTTACATTTCATTAATAATTTAATTTCACATTGAGTATAATAGATTGTACACTCATTAATTAATTGATTTATTTTTAACAGAACAGAATATGGCAAAGAGACCAGAGAGATATGCGGGCTATTCAGCCTGATGCAGGTTATTACAATGATGTAAGTACAAGTTATACTAGTTTAATGCCTGTTGGTTTGACAATCCTAGAAATATGTGAATGCAAGTTCAAAATGGTCTTTTCTATTTGCATTTTAATAACTATTTCCAAAAGGATACTGTAATACAACTCTGAACTGTGCATTAATTTTGTCTTAGACATTCCTTTTGATCCAATGCTAGTTAAACTTTTGGATTGAACTTTTGTCCAGAAATAGATGGAACTATGTAAGACTTTTAATAGGAAAGTTAACTTTAAACATGGCTTATTGTGAATATTTTTCATTGTATTGACTTTAGAACTAATTAATGAAGTCTGATAAAGTCTAGTACTTGATTTTTCTTACATAATACATTTTTTGTACATTATGTTTTCTTAATCTTATAATAATTTTTAAAGAAAGACATATAGTCCTAAATTTGTCTTTAGAGGTTGAAATAATTATCTTGACCTGTAGCTGGCTTCTTCTCTCTTATGTTGTCAAGATCTCTAACAATTAAATTTTTATTTTATTGTAGCTAGTCCCACCTATAGGAATGTTGAGTAACCCTATGAATGCAGTAACAACAAAATTTGTTCGGACATCAACAAATAAAGTAAAGTGTCCAGTATTTGTTGTAAGAGTAAGTATCTGTTGGGTATTTTTGTGAAGAAAATGTATCCTGAATTTGTCTGTAAATGTAAATTTGTTTTTTTTTTGTCAGTGGTGGGGCTTGAACTCAGAGTCTGGGTGCTGGCCCTGAGCTCTTTTGCTTAAAGCTAGCGCTATACCACTTTGAGCCACAACTCCACTTCCAACTTTTGAGTGATTAATAGGAGATAAGAATCTAAGGGGGACTTTCCTGCCAGGGCTGGCCTCCTGAGTAGGATTATAGGCACGAGCCACTGGCACCTGGCATAAATTCTCTTTTTTTTAAAAATTTATTTCTTTTGTGTGGGTTATGGGGCTTGAATTCATAGCCTGGGTACTAACCTTGAGCTTTTCACTCAAGTCTGGTGCTCTATCACTTTGTCACAGCTCCACTTTGGCTTTTGAGTGGTTAATTGGAGATAAAATTCTTAGGGATTTTCCTGTCCAGTTTGTTTGAAACTTAATTTTCAGCTCTCAGCCTCCTGAGTAGCAAAAGAAGCTCAGGGACAGTGCCTAAGCCCTCAGTTTAAGCCCCAGGATTGGGGGGAGGCGGGGGGGAGAAAGATCTTTGAATATTTCGTTTGAAATAATTATTGAGTGTGTGTACTTTCATGTACTTTTTTCTTTTTCTTTCTTTTTTTTTTTGGTCTGGTCGTGGGGCCTGAACTCTGGGCCTGGGCGCTGTCCCTCAGCTCTTCAGCTCAAGGCTAGCGCTCCACCACTTGAGCCACAACACCACTTCCGGCTTTTTTTCTTTTTGCTTATGTGGTGCTGAGGAATCGAACCCAGGGCCTCAGGCATGCAAGGCAAGCGCTCTACCACTGAGCCACCTTCCAGCCCTCTTTCATGTACTTTTAACAGAAAGTTAATGAACTAGAGTGCTAGTGCTTTCTGTCTATTGTGTTAATGTTTCTTTTCAGAGAAAAGATTTGATTATAAAGCTGAGCTAGCTGGGCACGGGTGGCTCATGCCTGTAATCCTAGCTATTCAGGAGGCTGAGATCTGAGGATCGCGGTTCAATGCTAGCCACGGCAGGAAAAGTTGGTGAGACTCTTATCTCCAATAAACCACCCGAAGACCAGAAGTGACTCTGGCTCAAGTGGTAGAGCTCTACCCTTGAGTTAAAGAGCTGAGGGCCAGCGCCCAGGCTCAGAGTTCAAGCCCACAACCGACCAAAAAAAAATAAAAATAAAAATAAAAAAGCTGAGCTACACTTTTTAAGTGAAACTTATTAAGTGAAAGTTGCTGCTGCTGCTGCTTTTTTTGTTGGTTTGTTTGTTTTGTTTTGTTTGTTTGTTTGGTCATGGGGCTTGAACTCTGGGCCTGGGCACTATCCCCGCGCTCTTTAGCTCAAGGCGAGAGATCTACCACGTGAGCCACAGCACCACTTCTTGTTTTCTGGTGTTTATTGGAGATAAGAGTCTCACGGACTTTCCTGCCTGGGCTGGCTTTGAACCGTGATCCTCAGATCTCAGCCTCCTGAGTAGCTAGGATTACAGGCGTGAGCCACTGGCGTCTGGCTTTCTTCTTCCTTCTCCCCCTCCCCCCTCCTCTTCCTTTTCCTCTTCTTCTTCTTCCTTCTCCTCCTCCTTCCCTCCCTCCTCCTCCTGCTCCTCCTCCTCCTTTTTCTCCTGCTCCTCTTTCTCCTCTTCCTCTTTCCACTCTTTCCTCCTTCCTTTTCCTCTTCCTCTTCTTTTCTTCTTCTTTGGCAGTCCCTGGGCTTGCACTGATGGCCTGGGCACTGTCCTTGAGCAGCTTTTCTTGTTCAGGGCTAATAGTATTCTCCCAGTTGAGCCACTTAGGGCTTTTTCTGCTTACAGACCCAGGGCTTTCACGCATATGTAGGCAAACACTGTACCACTGAGCCACATTCCCAGCCCCAATATTGTCTTCTTAATGTTGACTCTTGGATATTTTATAAGTAGAAACTTGGTAAATGTTTTCAAAATTGGTGAAATTGGAAGACTTGGGCCCTTATGTAACCTGTCCTTTTCCTTACTCAGTGGACTCCAGAAGGAAGACGGTTGGTCACTGGAGCTTCTAGTGGAGAGTTCACCTTGTGGAATGGACTCACTTTCAATTTTGAAACAATATTGCAGGTAACTGTAATCACAAGTTCATCCTATGTTATTTATTTATAGAACCTGAGAAATAATCAGATTTACAGATGTTGTAAAACTTAACTGGAGGGCTCATTGATGTTGAGTTTGTATAGGCTCCTGTAAGCTTTCAATGGTCTTTAGTCAGTTAAAACTTATAAAAGTTTTCTGTTTTCATAGGCTCATGATAGCCCAGTGAGGGCCATGACTTGGTCACATAATGACATGTGGATGTTGACAGCCGACCATGGAGGATATGTGAAATACTGGCAGTCGAATATGAACAACGTCAAGATGTTCCAGGCACATAAGGAGGCGATTAGAGAGGCCAGGTTTATACACAATATACCATTTTCTGTAGTCCCTATTGTCATGGTTAAATTATTCTCTAAGTGTATTCTGGGTGCAGAGATGCATGGGCTCTGTCAGGTTCTGGGAAGCTTTCTGCACCCTATAAACACGGTATTTTTCTTTGTTTGCACACATTCACCATTTTGCTGGCACCTTTCTGAAGTAGTGTGTTCCGGGTATCAGCCTTTGCAATGTGTTAGAGATGTATTGTCTGCCACATTTTGCACTGGTTTTCTCTTTATATTTATGGTTAATAATGTATATACGTTACTCCTTTTTATCTACTGTGTAAGACAAGAATATTTTATTCCAAATAAAGCATTCAGTCTTTAATTATACAACTGAATAAAATCTAAAGCCTACAGAAAACGCTTCAGGATTCACACAAAATACAAGGAAAAAAGGCTTAAGTGAAGACCTGGTTGGCTTGGTTATGCCACGACTTCAAAAAGAAAGTATAGGACCCAAAACCCTCACAGATAACTCCCTGGATGTGGCAAACATTAACGGATTATTGAATGATTGAATGGGTTCTACATGCTTTCCAGCTGTAAGCAGACATTTGTCAAGAAGACGTAGGACTTCTGATTCACGGTTGATAACATCAGATATACACATGTATAATAAGTGGAGTTGAAAATATTTTCAGTGAGTTGTATGTTTTTACATATCAATGAGATACGTATAGTAAACTGCAAGAACAATCCTGAAGAATTGCTACAGCCTCAGAATAAAGCTAAGCAGCATTCTTTAAGGTTGTGCCACCTGTGTGTGGGAGGTTGTCTCTAGAAATACGGTCCACTGCAGTCACTTGTTTCTTCTTTCAAAATCAACAGAAATGGTTGGATATATGTGCTCCGGTTTTATGGACTTGGCCATATTGTCCTGCTCTACCTTTTTTTTTTTTTTTTTCACAGTTGGTCTAACTTAGTCATAGATTCAAAAGTTCAAGGGACTTTTTACAGTTACTTGAGAAACTTGATATTCTTTCACTGTTGGGAAGAAAAAAAAATGGCTCTCACTTTTGTCTTTGAACATAATTCAGAACATCCATGGTTTAGTTTTCCTCCAAAGGTACATTCATGGGATAGCTTCATAGCAGGGAGAAGATGTTTCAACAATACCAACAGCTCTCATTGTTTTACTAGTTTGATTAGAAAAATACTGAAAGGAGCATAGGTAGTATTAGGATTAGTAATACACCAGTACTGAATACTTAATGGTTGAAAACTGAAACAACTACTCTGTGGAAGTCTTCTTTTGATGAGATGCTTATTTTAGCTGACAACAAACATTCTTTTTAAGGGCTTCTTCAACTGGATACTTCCCTCTCCTGTTTATAATGCAGCACAGTGTTTTTATTTTTCCCTGTCTGAGAAGAACAGATAATCTGTTAAATGCTGACTTCTTTCCCCTGCTGTGTGTCTTCATGTAACAGTTTCTCACCCACGGATAATAAATTTGCTACATGCTCTGATGACGGCACTGTTAGAATCTGGGACTTTCTTCGTTGCCATGAGGAAAGAATTCTCCGAGGTATGTGTACTAACAGTACTGATTGGAATATTTAAATAGGAAAGGCATTTGTGGTTAAATCATCAAGATACCACAATACCTGCTTACATCTTCATTCAAGTTTTTTACCTACACACCATTTCAAGGAGACTCTTTAGAGGAACAGACTCTGTAGTTCACAGTCATTTTGTAGAATTTACTACTAATATTATCTTTCAGTTCTTAGCTATAAGTTAAATATAACAGCTCCTTTCCCATTATTTGCTTGTTGTATGAATCTCTTAGGGCTGAATTCCTTCTCCTGTCTTAATCTCAAGATACTTTTCCTGCCAGGAACTGGTGGCTCACGCCTGTAATCCTAGCTACTCAGGATCCAGCCTGGGCAGGAAAAGTCGATGAGACTGATCTCCAATAAACCACCAGAAGTGGAGCTATGGCTCAAAATGGTAGAGTGCTTGCCTTGAGCAAAAGAGCTCAGGGACAGTGCCCTGGCCCTGAGTTCAAGCCCTATAACCTACCAAAAAAAAAAAAAAAAAAAAAAGCAGGGGACGGGGGAATAACAACCATTGCCAATAAATTTGCACTTCATAATTTCATTTAGCTAGTTTACATTCTTTTGGCATTCCTTTTATATACAATACATTAACTGACAAAAAAATAAGGTAATAATAGCTATACTTCCTCAGTGTTATATTTCTAAAAGCAATTTGATTTTCATTGTACCACACTTTTACTATGTGGTTCATACGGAGTTTGAGGATGATTACTTGTTTTATTGATTTCATAATTATAAATAAACCTATGAATTATTAATTATTCCTACCCTACAAAAGAAACTCTTGCAGTATTTTAGGTTATTTGAGTAATTAGAATTTAAAAATAAGGCTATTAAAATATTTACAGCATACTATTTGTGTGAATAGTAGTTAGCAATTTGGGAGTTAGCTATGTGTTGTATATATGCAAATGCAAGCATCACAACAAAAACATTTCCATGCTGCTTTTAAAAATACATTAGGAATATAGTATATTTATAGTGTATATATACTATATACATTAATATAGTATACGTTAGGAATATAGTATTCCTAATGATTTAACTTGGACTATACTGGTTTAATAAACAGAATAGTACTTTGATACCCTTGATTCCAGTATAACACAGATGTGACATACCCTTGATTCCAGTACACCACAGAAATAACATACATTCCTCTGACAACATAAATTCAGGGTGGGAGGGAGAATGGGCACACAGATTCCATATATGAAGAAATTACCAGTCAAGTGGCTAGGGACATGACTCAGTGGTAGAAAACCTGTGTAACATGTGAGATGCCCTGAGTTCAAACCCTAGTACTGAGAAAAAGAAAAAGTGAGAGAAATAAAGTTTGTTACAACTTTTCACATATTATAATTCATATTTCAACTCAGTATCTTTGATCATATTTGCCTGAGCATTCTTTTTGCACATCTTGTTTGGGTTCTTCTGCATTCTTCCAACACTGTGGTTAGCAACAGGAGATAGTTCTTGTCATCCTAATATTGTGTAGCTTCAGAGCAGATGGAGGGATGACCTGGACCAGAAAATTTTATGTGATAACATTCAAAATAGAATTGATTCTTATCCCTTGATTCCTAGCCTAATGCCACATTCATATTTTCTTTGCTCACTAGTAGTAGAAATCTTAGTTGTTAAATAGGAGTAGCATAGACAACAGTTTGTAGGCTTTGAAAATGCTTAGAAATTGAGAGGAGAGGAATGTACATTTAAATTCTAAGGTATCAAGATGACTAATTTCACAGTGGACTGAAATGTGATATAAAACCTCTCAAGTTTGAATTAATAGAAAATTTGTTATAACTTTTCTCAGTCATTTTTTCCAGTGAATGAATTCCATTTTTAGGTATTCAGTTTTGGTAATGAAAATGTTTTTATTTATTTATTTAATTTCTGCTGGTTCTGGGGATGGAATTTAGGGTCAGAGTGCTGTCCCTGAGTGCAAGGCTAGTGCCTTTTGACCCACAGCTCCACTTTTGTTTTTTTGATGGTTTCAAGACTTCCCTGTTTGGACTGGCTTTGAATTACAATCCTTAGTAGCTAGCCTTCTGAGTAGCTAGAATTAGAGTCTGTAAGCCTTCAGTGCCCTGCTGAAAATGTTTTTGTTTTTGGTCAGTTGTGGGGCTTGAATTCAGGGCCTGGTCACTGTCTCAGTTCTTTTGCTCAAGGCTAGCACTCTACCACTTTGAGCCATAGCTCCACTTCTGGATTTCTGGTGGTTTGTTGGAGATGAGAGTCTCATAGACTTTCTGTCTGGCCTGGCTTTGAACCATAATCCTTATATCTCAGCCTCCTGTGTAGCTAGGATAACATGTGTGAGCCATCAGTGCCTTGCGTGAAAATGTTTTAAAACTCCTGAAGTTGAGACTGTATGGGAGATAATAACTAGCAGTTAAGTATTTTCAGATTCCCTATTACAAACTAGGCAATGTGGTTCGAGAAAGTTAACTGGTATCATTTCTAGTTAATTGAGTATTGAGTTTTATTTGTATATGAGAACTCTTCTTTTAGATTTTCAGTTATGCATAAGAATATAATGATTTTGTTCATCTTTGTGCCCATACTAGGAAGGACTTGAAGTCAGAGCCTCTCCCTTTTACGTGGTTATTTTTGAGCATGGCTGGTGTTCTAACACTTGGGCCACATCTTTACTTCTGGCTTCTTTTTGCTAGTTTATTGGAGATGTAAGTCTCTTGGATTTGTCTCCCCAGTCTGAGATCTAAAGAGCTAAAGATCTCAATCTCCTGGGTAGTTGGGATTATAGATGTGAACCACTTTGGTGCCCAGATTCTTTACTTACTTGCATGGTGATACTGGGGATTGAACTTAGTGCCTTGCGTTTGCTAGGCAAGAATTGTATTCCTGAGTTACCCCTACAGCCCTATTTTTTTTGTCAGTCGTGGGGCTTGAACTCTGGGCCTGGGCGCTGTCCCTCAGCTCTTCAGCTCAAGGCGAGTACTCTACCACTTGAGCTATAGCGCCACTTCCAGTTTTCTGGTGGTTTATTGGAGATAGGAGTCTCACGGTCTTTCTTGCCCGGGCTGGCTTTGAACCACGATCCTCAGATCTCAGCCTCCTGAGTAGCTAGGATTACAGGCGTGAGCCACCAGCACCCGGCAAGCCCTAGCTTATTTATATTTGCCTCTTTGCAAAAACTATTCCACTTGCTCTTTATTTTTAATTTTTTTTTTTAGTATTTCAGTGACTATATCGGGTAAAGATGAATATATTAAACAATGCTGTTGTACCATAGAAATAGTCTGACTAAGAGCAAGTGTCATGTGATACATGTTGTTAGATTCCACTTACTGATTTTCTCATTCATTTTTCAATTTAGTTAACTAAATGATTTCTGACTTACAGTCGTGGTTGAGAGTTAGAAGGCTAGTTATCTTGGGCTGTGAAATAGGTCAGGTAAATTAAAAAGGACTCTATACTCGGGAAGAAAATTGGGTCCCAAAGTCAAACAGGAAAATGATGTTCTAACCTCTAAAAAGTCTTTTATTCTAGCTACACTTAGGGCATTACTTGTGTATTACCCACATGGACTATAGTACCCGTAGGCAGATACACTCTTTTTCATTGTTTGTGTTGTACACCAAGTCTTTAGTTTTGGGTTTTAAGTGTTAAGAAGATCCAAGAACATGCTAAGCATTGAGTTTGTGATCATAGTCTTATCTTTTTTTTTTTTTTTTATCACATATGTATCCTTTCTCTAAGAACCAGTTTTCTCATAAAGATTTTCAGTGATAAAAAATTAGTTGTCTTTTTGGCTTTTTGACAGCTCTAATTTTCAGAATGTTTTTTCTTTTATACCAGTAATTTGGTTCCCCACAATTTGTCTTTCCTTTTGGACTATCAAAAAGTAGACAATTAAAAAAATAACCACCAACTGGGCGCTGGTGGCTAACACCTGTAATCCTATCTACTTAAGAGGCTTAGATCTCAGGATCACTGTTCAAAGCCAGCCTTGGACAGAAAAGTTCCTGTGACTCTTTACCATCAGAAAACCAGAAAGTGGCCCTGTGGTTCAAAGTGGTAGAGTCTCACAGACTTACTTCCAGGGCTGGCTTTGAACTGTGATCTTCAGATCTTAGCCTCCTAAGTAGCAAAAGATTACAGGCATGAGCCACTGGCTCCTGGCTTGTGAGTGTAGTTATCTCCAATAAACCACCAGAAAACCGGAAGTGGCGCTGTGGCTCAAGTGATAGAGCATTTGCCTTAAGCTGAAGACCTCTGAGACAGTGCCCAGGCACAGAGTTCAGGCCCTATGACCAACAAAAAAAAACAAAACCAAAAACCAACCACTTCACACCAGCAGCTTTGTTTGTATTATGCTCTCTCCCCTTACTTGTAATCTCTTCTACATGTCAGTTCATTAAGTAGTCAGATGAGTCAGTTATATCTTTTCTGAGTAGTCTTTTAGCTTTAAGTGTTCAATGAGTGATTGGGTGCAGAAATTATTACTCCATATTGGGGCTTTAAATGAGAGCCTCATGCTTGCTAGGTACTCTACCACCTGAGCCACACTCCTAGTCCTTTTGTTTTTGTTACTTTTATATGGGGTCTTGCTCCTCCCCCCTCCCCTCTCTGCTGGCCTAGAATGTGATTTTCCTATTTACATTTCTCACTATTCCATAACAGGCCACGTTCTTTTTATTGATTAAGATGGAGTCTTGAGCTTTTTCTGGCTGGCCTCAAACTGTGATCTTTCTTTTTTTTTTGTCGGTCGTGGGGCTTGAACTCTGGGCTTGGGCACTGTCCCTCAGCTCTTCAGCTCAAGGCGAGCGCTCTGCCACTTGAGCCACAGCGCCACTTCCGGTTTTCTGGTGGTTTATTGGAGATAGGAGTCTCATGGTCTTTCCTGCCCGGACTGGCTTTGAACCGCGATCCTCAGATCTCAGCCTCCTGAGTAGCTAGGATTACACGCGTGAGCCACCAGCGCCCTGCTCAAACTGTG